TCGCCAGTCCACGCCTTTCCCCTCCCCTTCTCCTCCTTCCCTCGCTTCCTCTGCTGTCTTCTTGCGGCCCCCGGACCGCGGGCGCAAGCAGTTCGCGTGAAAGTTAAGGTGACAGATTTCCTCTGCGTCTCTTCGCTTCAATTCACCGCCGCCCATTTATCCAATTCTCAAGCATTCTCCTAAAAAGAAAGTCTAGACATCGCACTTATTTTAAAGGAAACGTATTGTATTTACGCTTATATTTGCGACGTGAGTGTGATCACAACACAAAATGTCGAACACATGAATAATGATAATAATGATAATAGTAATAGTAATAGTAATAGTAATAATAATAATAATAATAATAATAATAATAATAATAATAATAATAATAATAATAATAATGTGAGTTAGAAAATAATTTTCTTTACGACCATTCCAGAATGTATATATTTCTGCACGTTGTCGGATGCAGTAATGATGACCATTCCACAAGCCGTGCGAGAATATTATTCTCACACGACTGTCGACCAATCACATTTGTCTTGGTTCATTATTCACAACAGAGGCTTTTTGCAGTCGCCTACAGAGGCTCTGCGTGCACCGCCGCGGCAGGTCACAACTCTCTTAAGACAGGTGAACCACGAAACAGTTGGTGTTTGTTAGGATAAGAGAACATGGAGTGTTCTGTACCCGTTCTGTAAGGTAAGGCGCCCATTTAGTATTTTTAAAACATCAATTATAGTGTTTTACTCGCTCCTACGTCACTCGTGTTGTAATCATCGACTCATGAATAATACCTATCATTCTATGTTCGTTGAAGAATATACTATACTGTGACAAATTTAATATCAGAATACGAGAAAACGAAAAACTGAAGAAAAATGTCAAATAATCTCTAATAGTAACGCAAGAGCAAAGGGTACGTGAAATGTCTTTTGCGTTCATCAGAGGGCCCTTGGAGGCATCGAGGTTCCGAAATAATGTAATGTAATGGTCAAACTATGAACGATTTCCAAATCGCTCAAGCTCAACTTATTTTAAACACAGAGCGTGGTAATAGTGCTGGATTCCTATATTTTATAGGTTCATTTTGTCTTAAGATATCGTTCTGCTTTCTCCGCACTAAATACAGGAGGTGCATATGTAGGAGTACAGAACTTGCACAATATTTTTATCTGATCTAAGACAGTTTTTCTGTTCTTTCAGATATTCCAATAATCATGACTGGTAATTTAAAAAATGATCAACAGACGTAGATAGCTAAACACTGGAAGTCAGAGAATGGTGTACAGGTTCGACGTAAATTGACAGGAGAATTCAATACACCTCCACAAAGTAGATTATCAATTTACAGGTTGTGATTATAGGTTGCAAACATATTTAATCAAACTGGGTCTATGTGAAATGTGCCAGAGTGGTCGACCAATGAGTGTTACTTCCATGAACATGAAATGGTAGTTGCTCAGTCATTTATCCAAAGCCCAAAGAACTCACAAAGGAGAGCCTGTTAAATGCTGAGCACATAAGGCATTGCACTTAATTACAATTTGTATGTCATCTCTACTGTGAGTTCATAAATATATTTTCTAAAAGAAGTATTTAATACATAAATAAGGTTTCCAGATAGTACGACTGCGAAAATGTAAGAGCTATTTATTTTATGTGCTGTTATTAAATTCTTAGTAAGAGACCTCTATTTGAGTTATATAAAGTTTCATGTAAAGTGGTCGAGGGTTGGTATTCCTCTGTGTTGCTTCCTGAGCCTGTACACGCAATTTCTTGTCTCTAATTCTCGTATGCGGGTGTGCCATAGCCGAAGAATAAATTTCAAACTTCAGCATTATAACTATCACTGAAAATCTGTTTCATTGGATGGATTATACGTGCTATTGCAGACTGAGGTATGCGTATAGCAAACAAGACCAGTCTACACACGCAGTCCTGAGCTACGTGTCTCTAAACATCGCGTGCCAAGCTAAATTTAGCCTTATTATATCATGCTTGAAATCTCAACCGCTTCTTCCACACATGCGTGGTAAAATAATAGATTTTTTACTTAACGAAATAAACCAAAATAAGTCGAATAGATAGTGCGGTTTCATCCTGCACCTTTTACTCCTGGATCAAAATGACTTTTTGCGTCAAAATGACCTAGTAAAGAAGCAATGAAATGAAAAAAAGTGTGTTGAAGAAGGAACTTTTCTTTGTTTTTAAATATTGTACTTTGCAATCCAATGAAGAATACACAGAACTACATTTGAACAAAAGTTCTCTTATTTTACATGTATCATTCAAGAACATTGTTCTTCGTAATGTTTACCATTGCGTGTAGTCCCCTTGCATCATGCACTGTTCCCCAGGACCATCGCTGTCTCCGGGCTTACGAAATAACTAATGCTGAAGTTGTGTACTATAAGTAATGTGTAGGACTGAATGTGTCATGTATAAAAGAAGAATCATTTACTTTCTGCCTAAATCCTTCCATTCATTCTTAAGTATATGGGTATAATATCTACCTGATTTGAAGTAACATGACACGAGAGAAGCACGAACCTTCTCCCTCCCCCCCGCTCGAGTGACGAAAGGGACGTCGGGGGAGGGGGAAGCAGTGTCCTTTGAAGTGGCGGTCCATTTGAAGTCCTAATTGAGGGGAAGAGATGGGTTGGCAAGTGCCCTTACGAAGGTGGAGTTCCCCAGGGGCGCAGTTGGTGTCTGTGCCTCTCATCAACGTGCGTGCCGGCCTCTGCCCCCGCCGTCACTCCCACGCCCGCCTCCGCCTC